ACTAGAGCTGTCTTTAGTAAGCACAAAATATCTTTGGTTGTACACCTGTGCAATAGCAATAAAGTATCTTGATTTCTGTTAAATGTACTTCCTGAATGAGTGACCTTTTCAGGCTAAAATAACAAAATGACAAATACAGACAGAAGGACGACTTCTTTCTTCTTTTATAATGCGTTGCATCACCACCTGTATCAGAACAGGACTCAGTATTGGAAGATAATCAAACAACTTGGACTCGGATCAGGGGCAAAAATGTGGTTGTAACATCGCTAGATATAAGTCAGCTATATAAACTAAAACTATTATTTATGAACTAACATTAACACTAATGACACTAATTTATATATTTTTATTATGTTGTTTGAACCCAAGGGTCTCATTATCTGAATTTTCTAACTTGTTGGATTGCTCTATAAGCAGTGTTGGGCAAGTTACTTCAAAACTGTAATGCATTATTTATTACTTGTTACCCTCATTTTAAAGTAATTAATTACATTACAATATTACTGATTTTAAAATGTAAGGTATTACACTACTTTTGCATTACTCAAAGTAACTTTCACCAAAACAACTTCAGTATGAATCTGGTCATGTGACGCTCAGTGAGCTCATGACATATATGTGGAAGGTGATGTGGTGTCTGAGCTAGGATTGCTGTTAAAAACAGTCAGATATAATAACAGTGCTTTAAAATGATTGTTTATTAAATAAAAGCAACAACAATCTTTACTCTCAGCATGCTGCCATCTTATATTAACTGAGCAGGGAGTGAGGTGGTGGGGGCTCCAAGCCTATATTTGCCTTGGTCCCCAAATGCCTTGATACGGCCCTGGATGTGGGACTGACTTCTGGGGTGATCTGATTCTATCACATGTATAAATATTAAATGCTTATATATTATTGCTTTTCACAGGTAAAAATGTGTATTGGGGATAAATCTTGGGGATAAATCTTCCTACTGTTTTTCTTTTCAAGCACTTTGTTTTGTTTTCTTGATTTTATTTGAATAATTTCCGGCCCTTTCTCTCTCTAACCTTCCTGCATGCTGCATGTTTTCTCCGTCTTCCAGAAAAACTGTTTCCTAGATTTCCTACTTTCTAAATAATCAGCCAAAGGGATCTACCAAACGCAACAAACAAAAAAAAAGCTTAACATGCTCCAGCAGCAATGAGTTGAAATCACCGGGGCACAGATTATGAACTCAGCTGAAAAGTACATGAAGTACCAGAGAATATGGGCTGATATAAACGATCGCAAACGAATGACTTTGTTTTGGTGGAGCGATTTTGTGAATATAACAGCGGCCACGCGCAGGTCGCAGCTGGAGTATTTGAGCCATTACCGCTGCGTCCTCTCTGCTCATAGAATGCCCGCAAAGCTGAGTCCATAAATGACGTCATATATGTGGATACTGGATCTTTTTTCAGGCTTCCCGCAATTTGAATTTTTAGGAAACCCACATCTTAATTCTGGGTTTAAAAATGCATTATAATTACTGCGTTACTGACAATTGTACCGAGTAAATATTACCATTTTCTTTCCATGTAATGCCTTACATTACCACATTACAGCAAAAAGCAATGCATTACAGTAATTAATTACTTTTGTACCGCGTTACTCCCAACACTGTCTATAAGTTCCCCTTTTTTACTTTGAGCACCCGCCCCGTCAAAGGTCTCTGCACGGCCCTGCTCTTCACCACGACAGACCGGTACAACGCCTGCATCACTGCAGATGCAGCACCAATCCACCTATCGATCTCACGCTCCAGTTTTCCCTCACTCGTGAACAAGACCCCGAGATACTTGACCTCCTCCACTTGGGGCAGGACCTCATCCCTGACCCATCTGGTAATAATTTCTTCAGAAGGTAAAATTGCGTTATTGTTCTCCTTTATTTCCCAGGAAATGATTGAGTGTAGTTTTGCACCAGGCTGCTGGTAACAACACTTTTCACAACGACATTTCCGAAATCTCTTTTAAACATTTGTGAGAGTCTACGGGTTGATCCAGGCGCTTCTGGGCTTTTTTATCCCTGAGTACAACTTACAAGGCATTCATACCTGCTAGAGATCACTGCCAAGGTATTGAATAAACATGTGAACCAAGCCTTTATAAAAGGCTTCTTTTCTTAGACCTTTAGTGAAAATAACAATTGTTGATTGAAAGATTAAAATCTTTGATAGCAAAAATGTTTTGACAGGAAATAAAAGCAGCAGTAGTCATCGAGTTATCTCCAGCTGATCTGTGGACTTCGCCAAGTCCCTTTTTCCTGACTGACTGGGACAACCCTGCATCGTTGTTTTGTTTGTTTCCTTCTCCTACATGCACCAAGCATCCAGCATCAAGTGAAATGGTAAAACAATCCGACGCGGATTTCTTTGTGACATCAAGGAGGTTGGTTGAATCTTGTGCTGCTTGCAGCACTCGGGTCTCACACGTAACTCTACATGTCATCAGAGCAACAGCACCCTGGTTATTCAGGTGGATGCAGGGCTTTGCTGTGTGAGTATCTTGCTAACTGCTGGAGAACAAGTTATTAAGCAAAGCTAATGCCATCTGCTTATATTCACCATGCAGCGTCTGGATTTACACACCTAAGCTTTTTCTAACTAACAATCACAGGCTTCTGTAAGCCCAGAAAAAAGCTGCTGTGTGTTTTCTTGTGACAACTGGCAGAAACAATCTATCACTTAATGCTTCTGAGACTCAAACTGCCTTCACACCCATTAGAGAAATGCCGCTGCTCTTTGTCCTCTCTCTGCTCCGTCCATTTGCCAAAACTATGCGGTGCTATTAACTGTCAGAAATATGTCTAGCCCGAGCCTACTTTATGTTTGCATGAACAAAAACAGCATTTGGTAGAGCACTGAGATGAGTCACAGCTCACAGGAGGTTCTTCTTTGATAAAAAAGAAGAGAATGAGATAAATTGTCCAGATGGTGTAATTTTAATCCTGAGAGGAGATGTCCACACGCGCTCTGATCCTGAAGTCATTAAGGTCATCACTAGAGCAACTTCACAGTTGGGCTTTTAGGGGCTGAGACAGAAACAGTTGGCTAGAGGTATCAAACTAACAACTTCATTCTTCTGTTCGTGGAACATCTCCATCCAGACTCTCAACGCTAATGTGAACTAGAATGTTTCCTCGAGATATTTTAGGAGAATCCAGAGATCGGCCAAACTTCAGAACTATAAGAGACCATAAGATGCATAAACAAGATAGACAGAAATGTTAAAGCTGCTGACAGTCACCCATTAGGGTTCCCATGGTAACCACCTGTGGCTCATTAGGGTCACTTTGGAAACCACACACCTGTGTCTGTCACTCTAGACAATAGGCCTTCTTTGTGGCCCCCAAACCCCTCAGGCGAACAGGAGGTGTGCTGTCACATAGAGGGCTGGTATAATGAACAGTCAGCAGCAAAGCTGTTTGAGCGACCCTCGGACCACTATAACTGAGGACCCCTGCTCCAGAACATGAAACTAAATGAGAAGCAGACTTGCAGTAAAGCCTCAAACAGCTGATCAGTGGTGTCCCTGGGTGATTTTAATAAAGGGGGCTAGGGCCCCCTCTGGCCACCTCTTGAGGGTGAAGCAGATTTTTTATTATATATATATATATATATATATATATATATATATATATATATATATATATATATATATATAATTTTTTTTTCTTTGTTGAAGGAAGTTTTCTGAGTTAAATATAATCAAGCTGTGTTGAAGTCGGGGTGTGAACTCTGCACCCAGAGGGTGTTTGAGAGAAAACTAACGTTCTGTAGCAGAGAGTGACACGGAGGGTGGGAGACAACATCCATGGATCCACGAAGGGCAAGGAAGGCAGAATCCGTGGACAGAAAACTGGTCAAAAGGCTTGGTTAAAACTATTGCTGAAGTCTCTACTGGCATGATAATCTGGCCGGGAGACAGCCTGAAGCGTTGCTTAAAAGGAGGAGCGCACAGGTGAAGCAGGGAGACAATCAGGCAGGGCTCAGGTGAACTGGGTGAAGCTGATTGGCAGAAAGGAAGAAACAAACATGACAGGCATGGCAGAACAAGGTGGAAACATCACAACATTCACGCCATCTTGGTCACGGAAAGTTCAACGTTCTGGGATCCATGCATCCTCGTGTCTCCACTCTGCAGTGAGCTTCAGAGCTCCAAAGGAGCTTCTTCATCCACGTCACCCATGTGTTCTTGTTTGCACAGAAATGTCTCTTAGCAGATGTTAAACAGCTGTATGCATCAGTGATCATGCATCTGACTCTTACTGAGAACCACACCTGCCTTTCTGTTTATTATAGGAACACCCAACTATCACAACAGCTTCTGTTTTGATTCCTGAATAATAAAAATTCCCAGCCTTCCAGATGTGAACAGAAGAACCACCAGCAGCATAGCGCCGCGCGGACAGAGGATTCAAATGGCGATTTCATACAGAACATCTGCATCAACTGCCTCCTTTTTCATCACCAGGGGCGTAAATTCCTGTTTCTCAGCCGAAACGGTCACATTCGGGGATCTGATACAAACTTTTTGGGGAATCGCACAGGCTCAGCTGAGAATAAAGCACTTACAATCACATTCATGAAAGAACCATAACAAAGTCAAACTGTAGCGTTAGTCAGATCAAAATCCTGTCTGCCTTTGCCTTCACGAAGTCAGCACGGAAACTGTTTCTGAACGCTTTCTGACAATGGATCCAAACATTTGAATCTAGGCTACAACCCTCTAATTGCGCTTTGGCAGCAGGGGAAGCGCATCGTGCTCCAGCACCTCAGAATAACCTCACACCCGGAGTTTAAATATTTAGCTGACGTTTTTCCTCCATTTGGAAGAATCATCATTTAAATTATTCCACTAAAGACTCCCGGAATGACGGCTGCACCCCATCAACTGTGAACTGTACGAATAAACCAGAGCGCACGGGGAGTCCCTAATCACATCTGTTCCTCACAAACTGGCCCGCTGCACACCTGGAGTTGGCACACTCACCTGCAGGAGACCGTCAGTTCTACTTTGGTGGCGGGTATCGCAGCAGTGAAGGGGTCTGCGTCCCCGATGCACGCCATGTTCATCGAGATGCTACTCGGTCGATCACAACCCGCCGCTTATCCAGCAGCGCCTTGGCGGTGGCATGAGAGGAGCCGGGAGGGAAGCGGAGAAGGGACCGGAGGAAAGACACGCACGCGCAGAGCGGCTCGTCCTCTGGAAGCGCAGAAACATTAGAGAGAAATGCGGAGACGCGGAGCTGCAGCGCGCTGGAGTCGCGTCTGTGTGCGCCTCCGAGGCTCCGGAGGAGAGAGGGGGGAGGGGCTGGAGGAGGACACACACACACACACATACACACGCGCACACACACGCGCGCACACACCGTCCATCTGCTAGAAGAAATAATTTGTCCTTAAAGGTTTTGGTCTGGGTGCGTAATTAAAGTAGCTTAAAAATAAAGAACAGAGAAAATAGAAATAAAAGTGCTTCGCAACAACACTGGCTGTTGTACAGTGTTGTGTCTGAAAACGCAACAACTGAACAGCAGCCAGTGTTTTCATTCCCAAAGACTGAAGGAGGTGAGAGGGTTGGCTCTCTGATCAACATCCGACACTGTTTCAACGATGTTGTCATAAAAACGTCATGGTGAACTTGCTGCATTTTCACAATGTCTGACCATTTTAAGTGTTTGAGTGGAAAAGTCATAAAATTATTTCCTAATTTCCTGTTGTAGTTTCCTAATCAGCCTCTGTTTAGAGAAAGAGCTACAGTATGGCATCCGTCAGTCCCAAGAAGCTAGCAGAGCAGCTGAAGCTATGTCAAATGTGTACGACTGTTATGTTAAGAGAGCTAGAGTTTTGTAACCTTCAGCAGTTTGAGTAAATGTTTTTTTTACCTTCACACTCATCACCGTTTTCATCACACAATTGTTTAATCAGAAACATTAACTGGACTTCTTTCCAGTTGCCTTCATTTGAACCCTTTGGATTACCATGACCAGCATGACTAAGGACCTTCACCAGCATCCTGCTGGAACTGGCCTCTGAAAGCAAAGGTCATGCTGAACAAAAGTGCTACTTTTTACTGCTGGCAGTGACTTTTAAAGATAAGATTCAAAACCTGACACCACTGCATGGAGCCTGTATCATTTATTGGAGCTGTTTGCTCACCGGTTTACCGTCCGTCACAGGGACGCACTGAAACAGCCAATCACTCTAGAGACCATTTAGAGAGTCTAAATGAGCAAACATGCTTGTTTTTGCTCTGGGTGAGACGACTAGAGTCCCTGGGAAAAGTACACATGCATGGGGAATAAATATGCTAAATGCATGCAGAAAGGCTGCAGCCAGGATTCAAACCTGCAACCTCCTCACTGTCAATTAACAGTGCATTCAACTGCACCAACATGCAGCCTCCATTATTATTATTATTATTATTATTATTATTATTATTATTATTATTATTATTATTATTATTATTGTTGTTGTTGTTGTTGTTGTTGTGGTTGTTATTATTATTGTTGTTGTTGTTGTTATTATTATTATTATTATTATTGTTGTTACAGTAAAATCAGCTCTTATCCCAGTCATGCTCCAGCCCTCCCAGGATGGTGTTTAACGGTTTGATCTGCTCCATGGAAGCTGTTCACTCTACAATATTTATGTTCAAAAGACACATTTTCATATCAGTCATTTTGATAAAAAATATAAACGTATGTAAATGAGATGAGAAATTACCAAGCAGAAGAGAGATGATGGATCCTTTGAGATGCCGAGCATTCACAAACAGTCAGCCAGGCAGAGTTAGAGGTTAGAAGTCGTTCTGGGGGAATTGTAACGTGATAAAAACCAAGCGTGACTTGAATACCACATTAAGCTCTGGAATAATCAAACTGTGAAAGGATTATAGACACCCTTGTTTCTAAATGACAGTGTCCTCGGTGACAGGTAATCTTTCAGTAACAAAGCACAACTAATTACGGATTAAATAGGCCGCAAGTGGATTATTGGTGGCCTCTGGACTCAGATTCATTTCATTTAAATAGATTCTGCTGCTCTCTCAACAGCATCCTGGTAAAAGAAGGGGGAGCGAGGGAGTGGTCAGTGGTGAAGCGGCAGAGCGACAAAAGCAAAACAAACTCAATTAACCAGCCCAGCATGAACCCAGCAGCTAAAAAAGGAAACCGAGTGTCAGCTTCAATTAGTCTGACGAAAGTCCGTCCAGCAGGTCAAGCACCTGCTGGATTTATCAAACAACTGGCCTCTCCACCTGCTGCAGGAATTCAGTCTTCTGGAGTCAAACGGATTGTGCCACAATTTCATTATAACCAAGTGTGTTTGCAAGGCAACTGTTAGGCCTCTCATTACAGAACGTAATTGGCCCTTCTGTTCGATCACACAGCTTCTGTTTTCACTCTCAGATCTACTCTCCTTGTTCTGAATCCATTCACACATTAAAAAACATTTATTTGTCTGCAATATAAGAACCGTGACTCACTGCTAAAGCTGATCCACATCACTGCTGAGTCAGAGCTGATTCTTCTAAAACAACATTCATCGACCAAATTGTTTCAGCAAAAGCTGGAGATCACGGTCTGATGGAGCCAACAGGACCACATCATCTGCAAAAAGCAGAGAGCCCATCTTCAGGCCACCAAAAGCTCGTAAATCCTGTTCACAAATGTAATGAACAGGATCTGTGGCAAAGGGCAGCCTTGGTGGTTCATAGCAAACAGTATCTTGTGTCTGACATACAGAGCCGTGACCAATGGAGACCCTAGAACCCTAGAACCTTCACAATCCAATAAGACCTTCTTCTTCTCAGTCCACCAGTATAAAACGTTAGTTACTGGGCAATCAAGATTCAGACTTTTTGTACTTTGTTCTGTGTGTAACGTCGTAATCCATGATTTTGATGTTTTTTTTACACAGCTTAGTATTTGTTATTACCTTATCTGTTTAGGCTAATAACTCTAGCCTTCATCAGAGTTCGCTGTGTTTGTCTGGAGGCAGCAGAGGACGGTGTCGCCCTCCACTGCTTGCACCCACCTTGCTGATCACACTGTCCATGAGTGATCCACATGGTTTTAAGAGGGACACAGTGCTGGACTGACCATAGGGCATAGCGGGCAACTGCCCGCTGGGCCGACCCTTTCATCTTTTATGGGCCGGTGTCTGTTTTTTTTTTTTTTTTTTTTTTTTTCCTGGCCTCTAGTTGTTGCGGACAACTTGCCTGCGCCGCCCCACGCGACGCCTCGTAAAAGTTGGTGGATTGGCCAATTGGTAATAATACACTGGGCTGGACCAATAGCCAGAGGTCTGATGCACCCGCCAGTTGTTTGTGAATCTCAGTAAACAGACAGACGAGCTTAACAAAATGGAGAACAAAAAACGGAAAGGAGAAGCGGAGAAAATTCGACTAAAAAAGAAACTGGCCCTTCAGGCTGATGCTGGCACATGTGTTAAAATCTCACAGTTGTTTGGTAGTGAAGGTTCAAGTAAAATCAATTTAGGAAGTGATGGAGCCTCAGCCCAGCGACAGGTTGGAGAAGAAAAGAGGGAGGAGGAGGAGAAACCCGAGCCGGTGTTGTGCCATAAATTGACTCGCTGCCAAAAAATGATTAGCCACCGCGGGATCGCGCACGGTTAGGTAATTGCATTTCTAGACAAAATTCCCCAGGATTTCGCCCTAAAACTCAGCATATCTAGCAATATGGACATTCAGAAAGCAAAGATAACCTCTTCCGGGACTTAAACAGATGTTTATCGCGGATATTAGTGTGGCAGTGTTTGTGGCACCCTGCGCGGGAGCACGAGGACGTGCTTGTGGAAAGAGGGAGGAAGATGTGGCAGTGTGAGCATCCACAATGTCCCGATAGATTATGCGCCCTGGCTGCTTGGCTAAGGAGATGTCCCTTTGGCTGACTGGTTAGAGCGTGTGACTTCCACCCGGGAGTCTGGGGATTGAAACCCGCCCGGGCACTCCTTTCTGCACCTTGCCACATTAGTTTTTCCAGTTCGGAAGTTGTTTTAAGTGTTGCTATTTGTCTTAAACGTTCACAATGAGGATATATTAATCCTTTTTGCAATATTTGCGATTGAAAGATGGTTTGTGCCACAAACTTTGTGGTAAGAACTGGCTTTCTTTATGTTACAGCCTTGATACTAAAAAAATAAATAAACAATGTAAAATGGCACCCTGTATTGAATGTAAACGTTGTATAAATGGAAATAAACAATTCTCCAGCGATTTAATTTTTCCCCCTTCCTTTCTTTAGTCCACTTGACATGGAGCCACAGTTAACTAGTTTGGGGCACATTTTTACTTGAAAAAAAGTATTTAAAATGATCAAGCTTTGGCTTTGCAATGACACTGTGTAGGTTGCTATACATTACGTTGCTCTATTTAAAAGTAACAAGATAAAAGCACTTCAGCACATAAAATCAAGATTGTCACTTGCCAAATAGACTACACCCTCCCGTTTACCTATAAGAAATGCCTCAAAATATCTTTAAATTCTTTATTGATGATTTAATTGTAGACAACTAAAATGGCATTTTACTTGCCAAAAAGTGATTGAATCGCTAAGATTTTCATGGAGGCTAAAATTGACCAAATAAGGGTTTTATGTATTATCTGTTGACGTTACCGTACTCATACTGCCTACTGTGTCATCAAAAACACCCCAAAAATGGCAACAAAAAAAAAAAAAAAAAAAGAAGATAATTTCCCTTGCCAATAATTGATTACAGTGTCCTGGTCACCTGTAAAGGGTTACATTTACCTAAATATTACTTTATTTATTATCTCTTGATGTTATTAGTGCCATCACAGGATGCCGGTGTCTTTCACATTCATAAACACCTCAAAAATGGCAACAAATGATCATTTCCCTTGCCAAAAATTGATTACAGTGTCCTGGTCACGTGTAAAGGGTTAAATTGACCTAAATATTACCTTATTTATTATCTCTTGATGTTATTAGTGCCATCACAGGATGCTGGGTGTCTTCCACATTCATAAACACAGAGTCCTGGTCACCCATAAAGGCTTAAATTGGCATAAATATTACTTCATGTATTCTGATGCTGGGTGTGTTCCACAATCATATTCGAATAAACGTGAAAATATTCTGTCCGAATATCTGTTTCTTGTTATAAATATAACAGCTAGAAGGATTTACAGTTAAAATAGGAGAAACACGTGACTCCCCAGGAAGGGTCGTAACACCACTTGCCTCATGCACATAAGTGAACAAAACAAAGCAGCATGGAGACACTCCGTCTCCAACCACCTCTCAGGCAGCAGCCTGCACTCCCAAGTTCTACACGTCACCAGAACATAAACAACCGCAACACAATAAAAGCAGTGTTATACAAAATGGAAGGCCTGTAGTGTTTATTCTCTTACAGTAACAACTTATCAATTTTTTGGAGGAATTTATTTGAGAATTTTTTGGTTTTTATTAATTGTGCAATAGAAAAGTAATCGCTAGATTAAT